CTATGGCATCACTCAATAAAAGATGTGCAAACAATAATCAATTATGAGACGGGTACTAATTTATATAATCAATGTGTTAAGTCAAACTCAATTCGATTATATATTAATGATAGTGATGAAGTCTGAATGGTAGAATCCAGTTTGATTTCGACACAAAATGATGATCATTTTTTAACTTCCTTGAGACTAAAGTAAACTCATTTATCTCATAACAGTATCGTAATGTAGAAAAGTCAGAAAAAGTATATTAATGCGTTTTCAACAGGGACGAGTTTATACCCGTTTTGGTTTTCGAACACGTTCATAGCGTCGAAAATGTTGCATTTTGGATGCGTTCAAACCTGTTAACTTGCATAGCTTGTAAACGTTCAGGAAAGCTTTAGGATCTTCAGGAGCTTAAGCATGAATATATGGGCGATGAAAAGAATATTATTCATTTATTCTAATTTCAATAAAAATAGATAGTTTTTCGTATAGTATCTGCTAGTTAGGTACTTATTATAAACTTAGATCAGTTTGTATGATTCTGAATTACTGCACACAGAAATAACGAAAACAACATCATAATTATCGATTGAAAACTTAAAGAGATATTTATGAAAAATTATCCCGCTTAAGATATATATCACGAAGAACCATTTATAGAAATATGCTTCAGCTTCTTATTCTTGTTCATATGAGTTAATAGAAAGCTCATACGTTTATCCAAATGAATTAGAAAAGTCAATTTTTTTCTTTCAGCTACTATCTCCTAAACCTACTATAATTACACAATAGTATTACCTCCAATCACAATACCATTGCAACGATGATGTAGCACGTCGAACTTGTAGGCACATTTTCACACAGATACAACTTTCTTTCTAAAGTATTTATTCTCACTAGCTAAACTATATAACTATGTATTCAACTGAGTTTCAGAAAGCATTGGATTCAAACGCGTTTTATCGAGTCTATGAATTAAACATTTGGTGGAAGAGACATAGCTGCTTTCCACCATTAAAGTGATTAGAGGCATAGGTTGGTATGAATGTGCCCCAATGCGTTTCATAATAAAAGATAAAATGCGTTTGCACGCGGGTGTGGGTGTGGATGGGGGATGTGAGTGTGTGTGTCCATGTATTGAGATAAAATGAATCCACACCCACACCCTGAATTCACTGCTTAATTAAAAGTGAAGAATTAGATAATGTGTTATTTAAAGCTCCTATGTTCGGTGGCGGCTTATTTTCGGCACATTTTTTCTGCGAATCATTTCCGCTCCTTAATTAATACCATTTTTGAAACATAGAACTTCGCAGGATGTGTGGGTGTGGGCGTAAGTTCATTTTATCTCAATACACGGATACATACACTCACATCCCGCATCCACACCCAAGAGCACAATCAGCTGTTCGAATCTGGAAAGATAGCGGCGAGTGGTTCCGAACAAACGTAGGAACTAGACAAGGAGATCCTCTATCAGTACTCCTCTTCATCACATATCTCGAACGAGTAATGGATCAGGTGAAGTAGAACACCTGTGGAGTCATCATCAGTGGTACAATTGTAAACAACCTGAGATTCGCTGATGACATAGATCTTATAGATGAAGACTATAGCTCACTTCAAAATCAAATCGAGCTAACTAGAAAAGCCGCCGAACAAGCAGGGCTCATTGTGAATACAAATAAAACTAAAACAATGGTATTCGGAGATCAAAACATTGAACATGGAATTCAGATAGCAGGAGAGACCATAGAAAACGTTGAAAAGTTTGAATACCTAGGGTGTCTACTGACATGGGACAACAATTGTTCAGATGAAATCAAAAGAAGAATAGGTAAAGCGATAGGCGCAATGGTTTCTCTAAAACACATATGGAACAGCAAGAAACTGAAAGTGGACAATAAACTCAGGGTTCTGACAACATGTGTCTTCAGCGTGCTACTATACGCCTCAGAAACATCGAACATGAAAGAGGTCGACAAAAAGAAACTACTCGCATTCGAAATGAAATGCTATCGGCGGATAGTAAGAATTAATTGGAAAGACATGATACGCATTGATGATATAAGGAAAAGGATATCAAAAGATAAAACCATAATAGACATCACCAAAAAGAGGAAGCTAAGATTGTTTGGCCATCTCTGCAGAATGGACGATAATAGGCTGATCAAGCACATCGCATTCGCAAAAATGAATGGAAAATCTCGAAGAGGTCGTCCATATAGAGAGTGAATGAACGACATCACAAAATGGTGTGGACGCAGTGAAAAAGACTTGTTCCATGTGGCACAAGACCGATGAATATGAAAGAAACTAGTCCGAACAGTGGTTGGCCCCAACGGGCGATAAGCCTATAGGACATCATGAACTTAGATTCTAATAAATAATACTTTAAGTATTACGAATTCATTTTTGGTGCCAATCAAGAATAGTCAAGGACATGTGTATAAAAGGATGTGGTTGTCTGTGTCGATATCCATTAATCATTTCCACCCGTACTCTACAAACACCCACACTCACAATTTCACCCAAAATAATTTCTTTGCCATAAATTTTTCACTTCTGATAAGAATAATTAAATTGAGTGGGTGTGGGTGTGAATGAAGAAAGGACTCAAAGCTACACCCATAGCAATACCAACACCCACACCTTTCGTTTTCATTCATAAATTTAAGACGAATGAATCTGAAGATTTCTTATATTCTTTCAATATTATAATATGAATAAATTCTATCTAATCTTCTCATATTTAATATTTAATATTTCGTTTCTGAAAACGTTGATAACTATAACAATAAATCATTAATAGTTATCTTATGCTACTAAAAGTATTCCAATATGAAGAAAACAATCAATCAGAAAAATGTTTTCTTTACTTATTCGTTAAAAGAAAATCTAATTTTCCTTGTTTTTATATTTAAATGAATAAAGGTATTGATAATGTTTGACTTTTGAAAAAGAAAAGTTCATGAAGAGAAATAGTTGACACTTAGATAAATTATAGTTCGTTCAAAAAGTTCGTGCGTGTGACTATTTTTTGAATATCTCGAGAATGAAACGAGATAGAGACCTGCGGTTTTCACCAATATATAGCCTCAATGACAGCGCATCTTTTGCATATCGGACAAAATGTTCGATGAATTTTTCTAGATCCACTTTTTAGCGAATCTCTCAAAGATTGACTGATAGCTCCAAAACTTTACATAAGGACCTAATGATTTTTTTATGTCAGTGTATAGACTGGAGCGTCCTCTATATAATAGAGATCAAGCGAACCTTTTATGCTTTATAGTTTGTGTGGAGAAGCATTGGTACTGAAACTTTCTACCTCACAAATATAACAACCATGATATGTCTAAGTAAATTAAGATATAGATGTTTCATTGTGTTCTATCTCACAATAACATGTTTTTTGTCATCTTTGTAAAGATTTCTTCTAGCAGAAAATGTCTAACAGTAGTGCCATTTCTGAGAAAAACAATGGAATACGTAGAAAGATGATCGGTAGCGGTGAAGTTGGCTGATTCAAGTATCTGTATATGGTTTAAATTAATATTTTACTGAGTTGTCTATTACATGTCATTCAGTAGAGTCATCATCCTTAAGTATTATCATATGTTCTGTCTTTTACTAATTTCTTAGCAATACAATCTTGAAATATGCGAAAGGCATGCAGGCTTCATCACATGTTCATACTTTATTTTTAGATAGAATAAACAGTTCAAATTTAGTTTATTATGGCAAAAGAGTTTTCATCTCAAACGAGGGAAATCATGTATCGGGTTATTCAATTCGTTAAATCAGAAAAATATGGAATAAAAATTCCATTGAACGATGTCAATGATCGTTTATGTGCAATGTTAGGTGTTTCATCCCGTTCGATTGATAATCTGAAGAAAGAATTGAAGGAAATCGAGATAGCTAAAGAAAAGTCATCGCGTAGACTTCGGTCAGGGTCGAATACAATTACCATGGTAAGAAGGCCATCAATATTCTCGAAACTGTGAACTTTTGATATTGATCTTATTTAGGATGACACAGTGGAGCAACCAATGTCAGTTAGTGGTCGTCCAAAAATTCATTTATCTGATTTTGGGAAGGATATGATTCGATATGAATTTCATCTTTTATTGGCTGAACGAGCATATCCTACATTGGATCGCATGATGACTCGATTATTAGTCGATTTTCCTGACTTTCCGATCAAAAATAAAGTAACATTGTCGAAAGAACTAAAACAGATGGGATTTGTTTATCGAAAAACATCGAAGATCGAAACACCATTGGAATCAACATTTTTCATGTCACAAAGAGCTAGATATTTTCGACGTATTGATTAGCTCCGGAAGGAAAAAGTACTCATTTTCTATCAAGATGAATCGTGGTGTTATTCTAATGACGAAAAGACAAGTATTTGGATCGAGGAGCAGACAGGAAAAGGAAGATTTCGTCGTTCAGAAGGAAAAGGTATGTAAAAATGAGTAACTAAGCCTAGTTGATGATTAACGATTTTGGCTTTAGTTGTAATGTTCCTCTGCTAACCACATATTTTGCATTAAATGATTGATAGGTACCCGTCTCGCTATCAATGGGATGATCAGTCGACATGGTTTTCATCAATCATCTGCAGAAGTATTTCAGTGCAAACATGAACATAATATGGATGGGATACACTTTAATGAATGGCTCTATCAAACGTGTATTAAGTTGAGAAAGGAATATGGTAATATAACGAAATATTCAGAGGTTCTATTTGTAAAAATACGAATTGTTTTATAGGACAAAAGGAGAAAATATGTATTGTGATTGGTAATGCGACATGGCATTCCCAACTAACGGATGCATCTAAAATACCATTGAGATCTTGGAATAAAAACCAAATTCGTCAATGGTTGATTGATCACTCAGTTCCATTCATTGATCAATATAGTAAATCAGAACTTCTTGAATTGAGTTATGCGTATGCACCAGAAAAAGAATACATTGTTGATGAAACAGCCAAACAATTTGATATTGAAATTATACGTCTACCAGTTCGTCATTGTATACTCAGTAAGTAAACACTAAGAAATTCATAATTTATTTCACTAAATTTCTCTCCATCATGGTTTTTCTTTAGATCCTATTGAAATGTGCTGGACTGAACTTAAGAAATCCGTTCGAGATCAAAATACCACATTTAAATTAAAAGATGTTGAAAAGTTAATTTGGAATTGGCTTAACAATTGTGACTCAACATTCATATCGAATTGCATCGATCACGTACAAGTATACGAAGAAAATTTTAAAAAAGCTGATCAATTCATAGAACAAATCGAGAATGAACTAAATGATGACGATAATATTGATAATGACTCCGACTTGACTGAAGATGAAGATGAAGATCAATAGCTCCAGATAATAAAGAAATTGCTTCTAATTTTTGTTGTTCCTGTTTTGCCGATCTGGCCTTTTTGTATTTCAGGGAATATGTTTCTCGATGGAACTGATCAGTTTGATCAAGACTGTATACTTAAAGATAAGAAATCTAAACTTTACGCTGATAAAAAGACGTTATTGTGAGATAGAACACAATGAAACATCTATATCTTAATTTACTTAGACATATCATGGTTGTTATATTTGTGAGGTAGAAAGTTTCAGCACCAATGCTTCTCCACACAAACTATAAAGCATAAAAGGTTCGCTTGATCTCTATTATATAGAGGACGCTCCAGTCTATACACTGACATAAAAAAATCATTAGGTCCTTATGTAAAGTTTTGGAGCTATCAGTCAATCTTTGAGAGATTCGCTAAAAAGTGGATCTAGAAAAATTCATCGAACATTTTGTCCGATATGCAAAAGATGCGCTGTCATTGAGGCTATATATTGGTGAAAACCGCAGGTCTCTATCTCGTTTCATTCTCGAGATATTCAAAAAATAGTCACACGCACGAACTTTTTGAACGAACTATAGATCACACTACAACAAAGATTATTGGCCATATAGGTGCAAAATATTTCCAGGCGTATCATAGTTCACTATCATACCATTGTCCAATACAAGAATACGATCACATTTGGCTACTGTGTTCAGTCGATGAGCGATTGTCATAACAGTTTGATCTTGAAATTTCTCCTTAATAATGGTTTGAATTAGATCATCTGTGTTTTGATCCACATGAGCTGTTGCTTCGTCGATCAATAATATTTCGCTTTTCTTCAGAATGGCTCGTGCAATAGTTATCAATTGACATTGACCTATACTCAAATTATTGCCTGATTCAGCGACAGACATTAGAAGACCTTCTGGATGACGCATTACAAACGGTTTGAGTTGAACTTCTTCGAGTACTTTCCAACATTGTTCATCAGAATAAGAGTTGTATGGATCAAGGTTATATCGAAGAGTGCCACTAAACAATATAGATTGTTGAGGAATGACAGTGAGATGAGATCGAAGATCATTAAGTGTGATGCGACTAATGTCAACGTCATCAATTAGAATTTGACCACGAACATTTGATCGATCAATAAATCGAAAGATGCCTTTGACAAGTGACGATTTTCCAGCACCTAGAAACACAAGCCATTAAAAAAACATATTATCTAGATATTAATACATACCAGTTCGACCAATGATGCCAATCTTCTGACCAGACTCGATACGCAAATTAATATTTCTAATTGCATATTCTAGGTTGGATCGATGACGTAATGAATAATTTCTAAATTCAATTGTTCCATGAACTGGCCATTCTGGTGAAGTTTTCACAAGACGTTTGTAGCCGCCTTCATCCTCTTCTGGTGGCAAATGTGAATATTCATCAATGCGTTCACCACTTGTCATCAATATATCAGCTTCAGACAATCTTCTAACGCCCCATTGAAACGATAATGTTATTGATATTGCAGATATCAAACTGAGTGCAGCTGTCGACGAGTCTATTTGATTGGGAAACAATACTATTTGAACAGAAGTGACCAAAAAAATTAGCGAACACACGATAGCAAGTAGTAATGCGAACGGTTGTGATGCAGCTTGTACATTAATGCATGCAGATGTATTGACATCAATTCTATTTGAAATTAATTGAATAAAACTGTTTTCCGCTTTAAATGCATGAATAGTTGTTAAACCATTCAGAGACGTTGAAAAGAGTGCATAAATAGGACTGCAAGTGATACTTTCAAGTCGTGTTAATTGACGAGAAGGTTTTTGATGAAAGCGAATTATCAACCAAATGACTGGAACTAATATGATAAGTAAAGGGAAGATAAATGGATTAATAAATCCAATAATGAACAGTGAACCAGCTGCCATTAAGAGTGCTACCACACCTCTCAGAAATAAAAAAAGGCACTAACTCGTCGATGACATGCTGGTCTTTGCTTGCTCGATTAAGAATTCTTCCAGTTGGATTACTTTCAAAAAACTGTATTGATGTATATAATAGTCCTCTTAACATATTATTGTGAAAACTATCCGAACCATGTAAAACAACAGTGAAATAATAGTTCATACGCACTATATCTACAAATACTGTAGCTATTATCAAACAAAAATAAATATAAGCAAGTTTTGATGAAACTTGTTCATCTGTTTGTGCTCGTTTCAACAATATGCTGAGACAATAGTTTGCACTATCGCTTAACACTTCACCTAGCAGGAGTAAAACCATAAGTCAACAGAAGCCAAAGATGCCGGATGGTGGTGCAGTAAACCAATGATACCAAACAGACCACCTGACGCCATCATTAAGAGACGTTTCATCAGTTATGATCGATTGAGCATCAGCCATCGATGGATTTACGTCAAGCATATCAGCTAATACTGATGTTTCATTTTTGTTAGGAGCATCTTCTCTAATGATATTTTCCTTCAAACAACCTTGTTTATCAATATATCCATGTGAAAGAAATATTGTTTGATCTGATTCATAAAGAAACTGTGTTTGATGAGTAGCCAATATGCGAGTTTTCTTTTTCAATAACCCATATGGACCAATGCATCGTTCATAGATTTGTTTGGCTACTCTACGATCGACAGCAGATAATGGATCATCAAGTAAATAAATGTCCGCATCACCATATAAAGCACGAGCTAATGCTACTCTCGCTTTTTGTCCACCACTTAAATTAACTCCCTTTTCTCCAATCATTGTGAGTTCGCCACTAGATCCAAAAAGACCAAGATCAACATCGAGACAATATGCATGTATTACATGTTTATATCGTTGTTCGTCAAATGGTCGATTTAAAAGGATATTGTTACGAAATGTATCTGCTAATATCCATGGTGATTGTGTAGCATAAGAAAAGGAACTATCATTTGTATTTAATTGACCATTAATAAGATTCATTTCACCGAGAATAGCAGCGAGTAAGGCTGACTTACCAGAACCTACTGGTCCAACTATTCCCACAAGTGTGCCTTGTTCGATAGTCAGATCAAGCAATGATAGACAAGGCATCTCATTATGCCACGAAAAAGATGCATTAGACATGCTTATAATTCCTTTTTGTTGCTGATGGATTGCAGATGTGCATAATCGAAACTGATTTTCTTGCTTTACGGACAGACGCATGAATGCATCTATTCTTTTTGATGCTAATCTTGCTTCACTTAGTTCCTCACTGATCAGAGGGAGATAATACATGATATTATTACGTATCAAAGCAAAGGATAAAAGAGCTGGAAAAACGGTAGCTGTACTCAATGGATAATCGAGAAGCCACGCAGTTCCAAAAGTAAGCAATGCAAGAAATGGTGTTGAGATAAAGAATTGAGTCATATTGAGCGCACGGAAACGAGATGTACGTCGAATACTTGCTAATTCATTTTCACGCATTTTAGTTATACAATCCTCCATCGATTTTTCCCAATTATACATTTTAACGACATGGCATCCATGAATAAATTCACTGAAAGCCTGTATACGTTTATCGCTACATATAGATGTTATTTCATAGTACTGCCCGAATTTCTGACTGAAATACAGCTGTATAAGAATGAATAGAGAAAATAGAGCGAAAGCACACAGAGTTGGCAAAGGATGTAGAATCCAACACAATAAACCAAATATGATGATGGCTTCAAGAAGTCCTTCACATAGACAACCTAAATTTGGGCATATTTCTTCAAATTTGCATGCATCCTTAGCGACCAAATTAATAATTTGACCTGTATTCATTTGTTCCCATGATGTTGATTTCAGAGACAATGCGTGTTTGTAAATGATTATTATCAGTGCATTACGAATTCGAATACCAACGCGAGCTGAACGAAACATAACTTGTCGGTCCATGAGTGAATGTATAACTAAACAAATAAACAATGATACGAGGTATAAATAACCGACAGTATTTGATTCTTCTTTATCCATCATATTCAAGATAAATTGACGTAAGAGTAATGGCTGGGCGATACACGATATCAAAAAAGGAAGAAGAGTCAGATTAGCAAAAATATAATCTTTTCCAAACTCTTTATTAACAATCTTCCATGTTGTTGTCGATGACCAGTCATAAGAATGTAACCTCTCTAACAGTACCGAAGTTTTGTCAACATGAGGTGTATCATCAAGATCATTTTCCGTCAATTCTCGTTTATTGCCCAAAGAAAGAATCGGATAAATCCATGACCAACACAATACATGTAATAACCGAGCGTAAGACGATTCTACCCATTCAAGACGAGATGATTGTCGTCCATGGTGATAATTATTGTTATGAGAGGGTATTTTATTACTGAGTAACAATTGGTTTTCATCATCTTCTTGCTGCTTACTCATTCTTGTTATCAAAATAAATGTCACCAATAGCCTTCCTAACGTTTTCTTTTATTGAGTATTCATGCAAAACGACAATAATATAATGATAATCTACCTGTATGCCGTTATTTCGTGCGCACATTAACAAATGTGAGCAAAAAAATGCAAGAGTGTGAAGACAATGTGTATAATATATCATTCAAAGAAAAAAATAATAACAAACACGTGCAGTTTAACAAGTTGTTTTTTTCTGCATGCATATTTTCTAAAACGCATTTAAACGCGTTTTTTTTTCTATTGAAAACGCAAAAATAAAGTTCAGAACGAATTTAATTCGTCATGTTTTTTCTGAACCGAAACAATTGTTTTTTTGAATGTATTTCAACTATCAAATATATTTTTTCATTGCACCGAGGATTAGTATTAGAGTTGAAAGAAGATATTTGCGCTTGATTTTAAATCCTTCGTTTATTCTGCTTAAGAGAGGGTCCATGAGATCACCGACCAAGCATGCATCCGAAAAATTTTTAATTTTGAAATGAATTAGGTCATTGGAGAGAGCTTGAAAAGTTATATCTAATAAATAAAGAAATCAATATGTAGTATATAATGTTGAATAATAGATGTTTTATTTTATTTTAGTTTTAATATGGAAATTTTCGATCATTTCAACGATCATTTTCAACCAGATAACAAGACATAATACATGATGTTACAACAAAAAGAAAAACAAATAGAAAAAGAAAAACAAATAGAAAAAGAAAAAGAAAAAGAAAGAATTCGATAGTGTCTTTAAGGAACATCATTAATTTAACATCATCACTATTTGTCCATATATCCATTTATTTGTTGTTCGATTAAATGGTTCAATTAAACTTTCTAAATAAACAATTTGTTGATAAAAACTATCCATTAAACGATTTTCTTTTTGTTGTAACATCATGTATTATGTCTTGTTATCTGGTTGAAAATGATCGTTAAAATGATCGAAAATTTCCATATTAAAACTAAACTAAACTAAAATAAAACATGCATTATTCAACATTATATACTACATATTGATAAAAATCTCAAGGTTAAACAAAATTTGTTTAAAGTTCTTCGTTGAAAAGTTATGTTCAAAACCAAATTTTTAGCTTATTTTGAAAATCCTATTAAGAGATATGAAGAAACCTTTGAACTCACTCTAGGGTCTTATTTTATAAAGGACGGGGGTGGATATCCTAGCAAAATAGGTCCTATTAGAAAAGTATTTCAGACAGCACTTAAAACTAAGAAAAAATTCTTCCTCTTTCAACGCTACAACATTCTCAATGCGTAAAAACAATTTTCCTTAACAGTTCTTAGTGCACTGCTTGACATAAGCAAACAACCCACTGACAAGAGATTTATACGTGTGTTCGCAGCATCGAATGTCCATCATAGTACGTTTCATTCACACACTGTACGAATGAAAAGTCGCCATTTATTCAGGGTTGACACAACTTTTGAAGGGCTAGAAAATAATGCCAAAATATGCAAAGAAATATGCTCCGATCAGAAATTTCCAAAGACCACACTGCCACAACCCTATGAAAAATGGGGTCCATTTTAGAGAAGGGCCCCTGGAATCTCAATTATTAAAGATGAACCCGCGTCGACTTTTTTCAGGGTAGACGCAGGTTTTGAAGGGCTAGAAAATGATGCCAAAATGTACATAGAAATATGCTGCAATCAGAATTTTCCAAAGACGACACTGCCACAACCCTATGGAAAAGGGGGTCCATTTTAGAAGATCGTCTCTGAAATCTCCACTATTGCAGATGACCCCGTCTCCATTTTTGCAAGGTATAGGAATGCAATGGTGATGATCATTCACCGGTTAACCGTCCCACTACGGTAACCGTAGGTACGGTTATCGGTCCAAGTACGATGACCGTACCTACGGATGTCGGTCCAACTTCGATAACTATACCTACGGTTACCGGCCCAACTACTATAATCGTAGGTACAGTTATCCTTTCAAGCCCATTGTCAGGAAAAACAGCGTCTTGTAAGAAAATAACGATACTTTATAAAGGTTGACGGAAGTGAATCTGGGTTGAGGAATCCGAATCTGAAGCCAGTTTTTGAAAATTTCTAATTGACTTTTGCGACAAAGGAAAGATTTTTTTAGAAAAATAATGATATTTTATAAAAATTGACGAAAGCAAATCGGGTGGATGTATCCGAATCTGAAATCAGATCCTTGAACTTCTAATTTTTCTCTTCGTAAGACTAAACCGCTCGTTGAAAGTCGTCTTTTTTTCTAGAAAACTTTATCCCTGAAAAACATCATTTGTGCAGAACTAAAACTCAAAATTTTCAAAAGCCAACTTCAGATTCGGATTCTTTGACCGCGACTTACTTCCGTCAACCTTTATGATCTATCGTTATTTTCTTCAAAAATGCTGTTTTTCTTCGAACCTTTATAACGTATCGTTATTTTGTAAAACACGATGTGAAAGGAGTGTTGAAGTGTATAGGGTAGAAATTTTGCATCCACTTCCTCCTCCCCACCTTCCCCCACACACCGTGACAGACAAATTTCATATCCATCACAGACCGTAACAAAGAATTCCCATAACCATCACAGACCGTGACAGGGAACCCCGGTATCCATCACAGATTGTGACAGAGAACCTCGGTATCCATCACAGACCGTGGCAAAGAATTCCCATATCCATCACAGACCGTGATAGAGAATCTCTGGTACCCACTACAGACCGTGACAGAGAACCCCAGTACTCATCACAGATCGTGACAGAGAATCCCCGTATCCATCATAGACTGTGACAGAGAATCGCCGGTACTAATGACAGACCGT